TGCAGTGCCGTCCACGGGCGGACGGCAAGTGGTTAAAAGCGCTTTTCCAACTGCTCAAAAACCCCTAGGTGTGAACCAGGGCTTATTCTTCCATGGCAGTAATATACTTTCTTAGTAAGTGCACCCACACATTATATATTGGGTTTTTTGAGGACAGATAATGCTATATGTTTATATCACATATGTGTGCCTACAGTATATCGCCTCACACTATGAAATAAAAAATATTTAAAGAATTTAGGGAAACACCTCACATGCCGAGGATTTCAGGAAATTTTCTGAACGTCTCAGCCTAAAACTGAAAGCCAACATTTTTTTTCTCTCTAAAAGCCAATAGTGGTCACCAGGCTAGACAGGTGGCATACAATGTCAAGTGTCACACTTCGTGACAGCAACATACTTTGAACATCGCCATCATGAGGGGGTTAAATAAAACATTTAAAAAATTTAACCCATCAGGGTGAAAAAAATCTGCCGCTCAGCTTCCTTGTGAGGGGTTAATTTTTATAATAATGATCGTATAAAATATATTTTTCACAGTCCGATAGGGAAGGGGGGGGAGGCATGACAAGCCAGTGTTTACAAACACTGGCTTGTCAATTCTATAAAGCAGTCATTGTAAATGGAGGTCACTATGACTACTTGATTATTTAAATAAAATTTTTGGTTATTATTAGGCAACCCCAAACTGAAGGACAGCCAATAATAACCTTAGTGACACTGACTCCAACGTGCACTGTAGCATGTCAGGATCAGTTGTCACTAAGGACTTCTGATCGTCTTGGCTGGTTGCTACAACGATCAGAAGACTGAAACAGGCAGCTTTTGCTGAATGCTTCCATTCTAAAGCATTCAGCAAAATGCCAGGAACAGGATTTGCTAATCCTGATGTGTACGGCTGCCTAACAGTGATACGAAGTGTGGCTCCCATCACTGTCAAGACAGTGATCGGGGTCTTTGAAAATGCTCAACTCTTTCATTAATGGATGCATGGTTAGTGAGGTACCCATTAATGGACGGTAACCACTGGTCTCAGCAGTTACTGGCATTTGTGAGCCTTGAATAGCTGCACTTAGTGACCGGGAGGGGGGGGCGGCTGGACAGTGTATGTCTCCCATCACTAAGGGGTTAATGCATATTGCTCATATTGTCCTCCACAGACACTCATGCAAAATGACAGCCGGGACTGTTGCACGACTAGAGCTGCAACAATTATTCGATTAAGTCGATTAAAATCGACGATGGAAAACGTTGCCAACGTTTTCCATCGTCGATTCATCGGCTAAAATTCAAATTTCCCGCTCGCCGCTGCACGCCACTCACGCACGCTGCTTACGCCCGTCGCTTACGCCACGCCCACGTCAGTTAAGCCGCTCGCGCCCACGCTGAGGACATGCGTCTGGCCCTCTCCTCCCGGTGAGCTTCCCAACTCGCCGCTGCCCGCCGAGAACGACCAACGCCGCTGCCCGCCGACACAACCGCCATTCACGGCTAACTAATCGATTATGAAAATAATCGTTAGCTGCAGCCCTATGCACGACATTCCACAACTCAACCTTGCTGCCAATGCCACAGTAAGTATAGCATGCGATCACTGGATGTATATATTTTCAGTTATTTCTTCAGTGTTAAACACTAAAATATTTTTTAAATGACACTAAACTCAGAAACGAAATCTTAAAAATGCATTCAAGTACCCAACCTATACTGGGGGGAATTTATCAAAGCACTAGCAACAGTTTTAGCCTCTTAGATCATTTTTTTTTTTAATGTGCAAATCTGTCTTTTAACATGTGCCCCTGTTTTCACCTGAGCTTGCACTACTTTTTCAACTGCGTGTTTTTTGCACCTTTTTTGCATGCGTTTTCATCTGCACTTGTTCTGGGCTGTCTGAAACTGGAGCATCACCTAAGAAAACACTCACAACTTAAGAAGTCCCCATGACCACTTCAAGATGCGGCCGTTCAGCTTTTTGCCTGCAGTTAGAAGTCTTCTTTCTTGGAGTCTATTAAACCTCATTTATCAACAGCATTACACTAGCTTGATAAACCTGGTGCAAATATATTCCGTGCAAGTTCAAACACTCGCAATTGCTTTGATAAATTCCCCCCAATGTATCTTATTTGTGTATCACTCGGCTGTAGATCCTCAAATCCTCTCTGAATTGGTGCCGACACTGTCCTTCCTTCTGAAGGGTGGCTACTTTTGTTCCCCATGGTCTGTGTGCGTGTTGTAAAGTAGTCACTGCTCCAAGCTCACTCCTGTGATAGACTACAATTTCAATACAAATTGGCTCCTGTGATAGAATATAACTTCTATACAAATTAGTAAACTAAACATGAGATACAGTCCATCACGGGAGTGAGCTTGGAAAAGTTTTTTTCTTAATCTTACGAAAATCAATGGATTAGTGGCGTTTTCGTACGGGGGGGGGGGGACCCAAAAAAAAATTGGAACG